CCGCGCGCTGCGCCGCAGCCATGGCCCTGGTGACCCTGCAGCGCTCACCCACGCCCAGCGCCGCCTCCTCCTCGGCCAGCAACAGCGAGGTGAGCCCTGGAACTGCCCCGCCAGGCCTCGGCCACCCTGCGCCCGCGCCTAGGCCGGAGGAGCAGGGACCGCTTGTGTGGGACGGGGGGCGGCTGCGGGGCTCCCGGGGCTCCAGCTGTGCAAAGCGACTTGGGCAACGGGACAGGGGTGACAGTGTGACCACTGCGTGCGCACTGTGACTCTGGGGGACAGTGCGTGTGGTTGGGACTATCAGCAGGGGTTGACTGTGCAGTGTGACCCCATCCAGGGGTGGCTGTGCGTGAGACTGGATATGCGACTGGACTCCTAATTGCGTGGCTGCGAAAGACGCTGGTTCTGAGACCCGTGACCCGGTGGCGGCTCTAGGCCCTTTGCTTGTGTGGCTGGTGACCTGTTGACCTGTCTGCTGGGGACGGTGCCTGGGTGATGCTGTACGAGACAGACAGATTGCCGGGGTGCCCCTATAAGTGAGCGAGGTGTTTCCCCAACTGCGCGCATTGGGAGTTCTTGCTTGTAGGCGCATCCGTGTCACTACTCTGGGCTCTGTGTGGCTGGCCCTGTGTCTCAAGTCTGTGTTCGCAGCTGAGAATGGTTTATGCTTTTTGTAATAGCTCTCAGGAGTGTGTGTATGTGTCTGTTTCTCTCTTGTGTGGCTGTAGTCCATACTGGGGTTTTTGTGGTTGCACGGGCACACTGCAGGGGGTTTCTGCATGTCTGTGTGACCCAGGCCATGTTTGGCTTGCTCCTTCTTGCTCTGGGGTGGATTAGGGAACTGGTCTCCTTTGAGTCTGCAGAGCTTTCCCTGAGCTGGGCCTCAGGCCTTTGAGCAGGCCCACTGCACTGCAAGGCTGACCCTCAGGTCTAAGCTCTTATCCATAGCAAGGCTGAGCTATGAGTGTCCTCCTGAAGACCCCTAGCTATGTTTTGAGAAGGCCCGTGAAGCCCATCATCTGGGCTATTTAGGCCCCTTCACCATACGAGAGAGTGGGGGAAGTTGAACTGATTACATGGGATGGGTTTGTGTCTGTCTACATGAGACAAGAGAAGGTACTTGCCTTTGTAGCAGCCCTGGGTATAGCTCTTCAGTCTCATTTTTGCCAGGATTTTTGCAGCATTTTCAGAGTGAACCTTCACAGCCCCCTCCTGTCCAAGGGAAGGCCATTAATGAGTTAGTAGTCCATCCTCCTTCTCCATGCTGATCAGAGGCAAAAGAATATTGGTGGCCACTTGCCTGCAACCGGCAAGTTAGGCTGCAGCAGTGGCTCTCTTCCCCACAAAGGGGAAGGCTGTTCTCCTGCATCATTGCTGCCTGGCAGTTTACAACTTATTTTTGTGCATTTAATCTCTACCTCCCTTCACAGAAACCATGTGAGAAGAGGGAAGAGGTTGGCTTCAGGCTGAACCTCTCAGCCCAGATTTCTGAGTCTAAATCCCACATTCCTTGTGTTACTTATACCTGATGGGCTCCTGTCTTAGGCACATTCTTAAGATTGTATCATTTTTTAGTTGCATACCATAAATTTACCATTTTAAAGTGTACAATTCAGTTGTTTTTAGTGTAGTCACAAGATTGTGCAACTGTCACTACTATTTGATTCCAGGTCATTGTCATTACTCCTAAAAGAAACCCTATACCTCTTGGCCGTCACCTGCACCTTCCCCAAGTTCCCATTCTCCCCAACCCTCAATAACCACCGAACCACTAATGTGTCTGTGGATTTGCCTATTCTGGGCCTTTCATATAAATAGTCATGGAACATATGCAGTTTTGACTGGCTGCTTTCACTTGGCATCATGTGTTTAAGGTCCATCCGCTACGTAGCATGTGGCAGTGCTTCATTCCTTCTCGTAGCCCAATAATATTCTACTGTATGGATATTTCATTGGCCCTCTGGGTGGTTTCTACTAGACATATTTTCAGTTCTGATAGAAAGCATTATTTTCACTAAGGGCCAATAACTGCCTAAACATAGAGTAAAACTCAGCCAGCTTTTATTTGGCCTCAGGTGATTGGCAGCGTTCATTGCCTAACAAGGGAGCAGGGGCTGGGATGCTCCGTGGAAAGTGAAGCTTTCTTCCTGATGGATTCAGGCAAGAAGCAAGATGGAGTGAGTGAGGAGGTGGGTGCAGTCGGAGACTTGGGCCAAGCTGGTCCTGCCTGGGGTCTGCCCTTTCCTCCCTTCTCATAGTGGCTTCCCCTTTCTGAGTCTCAGCTCAGCTAAAAAGAGTATACCTCTTATGTGCTTTCTTTGGCACATGTAAAGTTTCTCTGGAATTGCTGCCCTCACATTGCCTTTTGTCCAGGAACTTCGGAGAGTGACCGAAAATTAAATGGTTGTGACGTCTGTACCCTTAGGTCACTTCACTCATCCCAACTCAACTTCTTTGATGAGTCAGAGACACTTAGGGCCGCGGTTTCCTGCCACCGCCAGGCCTACTGCATGGCGTGGGAAACTGAAGGGCAGCACAGCCCTCAGTCCTACAGCAGCTCTCTCTTCTGTCTTTTAATTTTCTTCTTCTTTTTTATCCCCCAAGTTTAGTAACCTCACATATGTCATTTTCCTGTTTAACTTTATCTCAATTCCTTTCTCCAACAGGCAGAGCAGGGGAATGGACAAACCAATAATTTTCAAGACTGGATTGTGACATTGTTATTTTTGACAAAAGTTCAAGGTGACTAATTTTCATGGGCAGCTCTTTGGGCACTTTTTGGGGTTGGACCACGGTTTCTCAACCTCGGCCCTGCTGATACTTAGGTCCACAACGTTCTCTCTTGTGCGGGCCTGTCCCATGCATCATGGCGTGTTCAGTAGCATCCTGTCCTCACCCCATCAGATGCCAGTAGCAGCCTTCAGAAAAAATGTCTCCAGACATTGCCCAGTGTCCCCTACCACAAAAACTGGCCCCCAGTTGAGATCTGCTGAGTTGGACCAAACATTCTTTTCTGTGTTTGTTGTGGTTATTGTGAGTTGGGCTTTTTGTGCTTCACTGCAGAATAGGAGCTTGCAGCCCTGTACTTTTTCCACTTCTCTCTCAGTGTGGGGTAGGGAGCGTGAGAAGGAATTGTTTGGCCCCCAGTGTGTGCCTCTGCATAATCCTGTACATTCACCATCTTAATACCGGTTAGGAACTCAGGGCCCCCTGCTGTACTCCTCCTTGGTTGCAGTTGCCGGCTCCTGGTGCGTGGCCCCTGCTACCCAGGCCCCTCCCTACCCTAGCTCTGGGTCCTTTTCCCGTCACCTCATGTCTGTCCTTGATCAGCCTTGCATCTCTCCTCGCCATCACTGCTTTCCAGGTTTCTCTTTCCCATTCAATGGGCATCTCTGTGTAACATTAAAAAACATGCCAAGTCCCAGCAGCACAGAGTTGTCTGGGTATGTGTGTGTGTTTTCTTCCCATTTCGGTTTTCTCTCTGAGAAGAAAGAAAGAAAAATAAGTCATTACTTTCGGAGCTTGACCTCTTGGCCTTTTAGCGTTTAGAAAATATTAAATATCCCCCTTTTTTCCATTTATGTAAGTAAACCACTAGCCTAGAATATCTCATATTAAATGTTTAGGTGTTTTTTAGAACCACCAAGAGCTTCGGAGACCCACACACAGATAGCCTGATTCCTGGCCACCTTCCATTGTGTAAGACTCCCTGGAACGTTCTTTTTTTTGCAAATGGTGCTCATCGCTCAGCTATTATTGCCCAGCTTGACAGAGGAAATGAATTCTCCTAAAACCTAGCCCCCTCCCCTTGAAAGAGAAAAACAGGATAAGATCCAGAACAACTCCGGAAAGTTGAGAGCTAAGGTCTCAAAGAGTATGTTGGGTTAACAGCACCAGATAGGAAATGTTCAGTTAACAGGAATCAGTCCCCTGGACTGTGGCAGGAATGTGGGTAAACATTTGGAAACCTGAAAATTCCTCCTCCATGGAAATTACTCAGAAGGACAGACCAGCCTTGGTGAGGAAAGGGTGCGCCTGTTTAGAAGCAGTGAGGTTTCCTGCACAGTTTTGTCTTTTTCCAACACCAGGACAGAAAATGTGAGACTGCTGTCTGAGGCTTGTTGATAGTGGTGTCTATGGTTTGATTCTCTCTCTTTCTCTGTAGTTGGAGGCTGGCAGCGATGAAGATCGAAAGTTAAACCTCAGGTAAGAAGACTATTAATTTTTGTTCTTAAGCCTTTCTTCTAAGCAGGTAAGGAATACGCTTGTTCTTTTCTCAAAGGGAAAAACCCTCGCAAAGAATACATTTATGCCAAAAAATTACATGTAAAGCACATACAAAGGCGGTGCTTTAAAAATGATACAAAATCAGGCGCAGTGGCTCACGCCTGTAATCCCAGCCCTTGGGAGGCCAAGGTGGGTGGATTGTCTGAGGGCATGAGTTGGAGACTGGCCTGAGCCAGAGCGAGACTTAGTCTCTAAAAAAAATAGCCAGGTGTTGTGGCAGGTGCCTGTAGTCCCAGCTACTTGGGAGTCCGAGGCAAGAGAATTGCTTAAGCCCAAGAGTTTGAGGTTGCTGTGAGCTGTGACACCATGACACTCTAACTGAGGGTGACATAGTAAGACTTTGTCTCAAAAAAAAAAAGATACAAAATGACACAGGTCTGACACCTTTAATAACATTATATAACGTTTGAAAGAAGGAAAATAATTGCCATTCTTCTGCCACCCTTTCGTTACTATTATGAGCAATTTTATGTATTTTCTTGCAGATATTTCCTCTGCCTTAAAAAAAAAAAAAAGTAGCCATTATACTATAATCCTACTTTTCATCCTGCTTTTGGTGAAATACTCCATTTGAGGTAAGCACTTTGCTGACTCAAAACAGCTGCCCAGCCCCCTAGGTTTATCAGTTCATGGTGGTTACATGCGCTCCTGAGTTAACTTTCGCTGTGCTCTTTTCAAACATTCCTTAAGATGTGGTCCTCAGTTGCTATATTCACGAGTGGACACCAAAAACAGTTTTTGTTTTTTGTTTGCCAAAAATTAAAGCCTTCCTTTTGTTTGAGTATTTTGTTGGTTTACAGATGATTCAGCACTTTTTTATATACCATAAATGTATTCCAAGGAGCCAGTCTTAAAGTCAGACCTGAGTTCAAAAAAAGTAAACAAACTTTCAGGGATCTAGGTTTTTTGTTTGTTTGTTTGTTTGTTTTTAAAGTCTGTTTTATCTTGCGAGGAGGTGGAAGATTAATTGGAAAAGGAAATGTGTGTTCAGAAATTAGGGTCAACCATTCATTACCCAGAGCAGGATGTTCTCCTGGTTAAACTCTCATGCAAACTGATAGAAATGCTTAGCCTTTCTTTGAAGTTTCTGTGTGTTTGAGAGCAGGAAAGGAATGTGTTCACTTTTATGGCAGCACACATTATTTGTCCAGATTATGTGAGTAAGGAAAAACTAGCCTGCAAAAGCCAAAGAGATGTCTTATTTCAGTTGCTGGATTCTCGCTTTTAAAGTTCCGCTTGAGACAGAAGATGCATTTGCTCTTTCATCCTAGAACAGCGGTTTGCAACCTGTGGGTCGAGACCCACAGGAACTGAATTAAAGGGCCGTAGCATTAGAAAGGTTGAGAACCACTGCCCTAGAGTTTCTGACTGGTCAGGGCCCAGCTCCGGGTTTACAGGCTGGAAACAGCT